TTTAATGTGTAGCATGTTTCCAATCAGAAAATCATCCATACTTGGATGAGCCAAAGGTTGAGTGTGAAGAAAAAAACGTATTGCACCATAGATAATTATAAGCAGGCTTGTTGCGATTGTTGTGATTGTTGTGATGAAGTCGGTTAATACCATGGCAACCGCACAAAGAACAATTATCAGCCGCCGTAGTTTACCAATACGTTCAACCTGTAAACTAATACCATATAATATATGCAGCTGTCCATACAGAACTCAGAATTGCACCGATTTTAACATTAATGCTTAACAGATCAGAAGAAAAAGAAGGCTAATGTTTTTTCATACAAGCTGTAGATGGTGTGTTTGGCCGTACGGGGTGTGTGACATAAATATTATTTTCTGTAGAGGCCCATAGGTAGGCCTATGCCTGGGACAGATACATATCACCAGTTAATATTGCACAACAATTAGTATGTAAATAAGTAGTAGCCACATGTACACGTATGTAAATAAGTAGCAGCCACATGTACACATAGATTCCCTGTAGATAATCTGTATATAACTTGAAGCTTGTCCATAATAAAGAGACTTATGATCTGAGACTGAAGATGTGAAGTTGTTCTGTTATGCTTCTCTGTGCACGTACAGTGAAAGACTGAGGCGAATCTGGAGTCATGTCGGAGCCCATAGATTAGTTAATTCGTCAATGGAAATTGATACACTGAAATTCAGTACAGTTATAAATTAAAGTAAAAGTCATTTAAGACGGTTCACAACAATTTTGTAAATTTGTCTGTATGAAATGAAATGTTGTGGCAGACACCTGTTTGAGAAGTGGGCTCAACATTATTTTAATACCCATATGCTTACCAACTTGATCTAAGTAACGAAAATAATAAATATATTGCAGAGCACCTTTCTCTTTGTGTTTCTTTGATACTCATTATTTCTTGAATATTGACATTTTTAATACCACAGGGTGGATAATTACATAAAGAACAGCGTTCAAGTACGTTTGAACTGCTTATTAAGAGAGTGCATGACCTGTCGTCAAATTAATGACAATCTTTCTCTTGTGTGTCATGCCATAGGCCTGCGCGATAAGCTTAATCAGTGCAAAGCTACACCATTATCCGCAAATAATTGGCGCTGATACTTATTCGGAGTCAAATAGATAACAGTCACGAATATTTGGCTCCCCCATAATAGATTTATGCTGTTTTCGACATTTAATCCGAGAGAAATCAACCTTGATCCATAGCAAACACAGGAAACCGTGGTTTCACTGACATTTTCAACAAAAGCATCAGGGTAAGGTAAGACGCAATCCAGAGAAAAGAAAAAGTATAATACATGTTTATCTATATCGCCGACAGATGGATATTGCTGACTTACGTTAGTACCACCAACAGCGCCGGATGAACAAGAGCTCAAATTTATATATTACAAGTCTTTCCCATTGACTTGTATTATACGAAGAAGAGCACGACACGGACGTAGACGAGATATAGCTAGACCACGCAAAAAGTGCTCGCGGAGTGTTCACTGGCGAGGCAGATAATCGACAGTTTGATGTTATTTACGTGTCTTTTGGCGAGAAAGAACAACCGAGTTGTTTTAATGTTGGATTCATTCGTGGACAATGTGTAAAAATCAACCCGTTTAACGGAAAGTAAAATTTTGAGGAAATTAAACACCATCAATCTGATGCATTCACCATGTATATGCAAGCCAGGACTCATAAGAATATTGAGTCCTAGATACGAATAACCAAAGGCGATAAAGAGCAGTCAAAATACGCTATGTGTTAGTGAAATCTTGTACAAAACGAACACAGCGACGTCTACGGAGAGTTGATAGGTGCAACGATAGCAAAGCCAATTTCGACGATTTTTTTTTTAAACTCAGCATGCATCGCCAGCCTTTATGGTAGTAAAGAACTATTGATCTTAACACACCGTAGCTCGGTCGCGTGCCAACACATGTGATATTATAAAATTATCCACCATCAACCAACGTACGCACTTCTTATGTGATGAATTTTTTCAAGAGCAAATGGGTTTTCTACTTGGAGATCACACTCAGTGTGCTTTGCTTGCTGATATTTTTCTACCATCTACATTTGATATCAATGGATGCGTTGGTTGAGGACAAACACGCCAACATGCTTTGAATATACCCTCTACCAGGGCTGCAGTTATTATACCGTGGACATTTTTGCTGGGGCGACACAGTACAGAGATTAGCCATCTATTTAACCAGGGACATATCTGTAAATATGTAGTAAAAAATTAATCTGTGGCCCTGGTAGAGGGTATTTTGAATATACAGTAGCTGCGACGTAACACAGGGTCGAGAGAGAGAGAGGGCTTAGAAAAGCCTATCAAGTCACACTTAGGTACATGTGGTATGTATTTGTGAGTGCCCACTGGAATCAACTCCATATCGTCGAATGCTCGACCCTGTCGTTTTGGGAAAGAAGGCCGCCTTCAATAGGAACGCGTGTAACGAAACGATGTTAGTTCCATAGCACCGGGAAATGAACGCCCTTTTGGTCAATCCCCCATCTTCAAGCGCAGTCATTCTATTATCAATTTTTGAGATATGCAGTGAGAAAATAAGGTGTGGTTATTACATGGCGGGAAAACGAAAGCCAAACACCCCGCAGATCAATTGCAATCAATGCTACAAGCATATGTATGGAACTACCGCGCGTCATTAAGACTACGAGGTCTCTTTTTTCTTCAACTAATGATCTAAACCTCAGGAAAATGAAGTGTTAACTGTGTTAATTATGTGACTATAAGCCTATTAAACTTCCTTTAATTCAGACAGAGAACAGGACACAGGTGCATGCTGTACTGTTTTGCGCAAAGAATATGCAGAAGAAAGAAGGACAACTTAATTACGAAAACGGAAGTTAGATTACAGCTACAAGTAGAGCACTGCAATTTTGCACCATTAATTTGTGTGATATGACTATCGATTTCAACCAGTTTTGATCACTCCCGACTTTTGGCGTTGCTGAAAACAAATTGTGACATCATCGAAATATTACCCGTTTTATGATCACTGGGTTATGTTTTACAACGCTGAGGGACTGGTTATGCGACATGTGGTGAATCTAGTCGAGGATGTCCACTTAACAGCAGTACCACTGGAGAAACAGAATCGCAATGGAAAAACAATTGCTCCTTTGACTAGACCTCGCCATACCTTCGATTGCTGGCTCCTGTTAATGTTACTTTATATTATATTCGAACAGTGTATCACTAAAAACATTCTATCCATATGTGGACAGTAATACTTTGCATGGCAAAGCTTTTTCTTACAAATATGTAGACAGTAATACTTTGCATGGCAAAGCTTTTCTTACAAATAACAAAAAAAAAAAAAAAAAAAAAAAAAAAGACAAATGTATCATCACATTTTATATGGATGTTCCTATCCTTTCTTAACCAAAACAAAAGTATATGCAGAATGATGAAAAATAATACAAACGCACATCAATTCATTTACAAGAGTTCAAATAGATCTTTGTTGTATTTGTATTCCTTAAGCATGGAATTTATCGTGATTTATCGCCCTCTCCTCATTATGAAAAACGCCTATCTGTATCTCTACTTCTCCTTTTATGTTAACTTAACCTTAACAAACGTCTCATTGTCCCTTATCGACCTTGTGTTTTGATATTTTATCAAATGGATTTTCCAAAGAACAACTGCCATCTTCGAGATGAATAATAGGGAACAACGGGTTCTTGTAATTTAGAGACGTTCTTTCAGAGCGAAAAAAAAAAACAATTAGAATACGTTTCTATTTGTGGTATTTCTTGTCATATGCTCACTAACAGTGTATTCAAAAATTAAAAGAAGAAAGGAATTCAGTTATGCATGCCAGAAGATATGTTTTAATTTTCCTAAATGAAACATCACATAATTCTGATATTTTCAAATACATCGCGCTGAATACATACAATATAATTCAAATCGGAATGATAAATTTCCAAACAAGGAAAACTTCCATCCGCTATTTCATGTTTTCAAATATCCTGAACAAGAAAACCTACAAAAAAATATGAATAAAAGAGAAATGATGAAAACATCAAGTAGAAAAGTTCTCAATGTGTCAACGAAATTATTTAACCAATAATTCCAGGTTTGAATTTTTTTCGTGATAAATTCTCACATGAACAAGTACGAAACGGTAATTATTTCCTGGTAGGAAAATGATTGTATATATATAATAAGCTGACATTATTAAAGAGTTATAATATTACTTGTTTCATCAATTTGTAACACATTTATCCCGCTTCATCATGGAAAAATTATGCCAATGCCATGTAAAATAAGCTATCCACAAACAACAAAAGTTTTCAAAGTACCGGGCCAACACCCACACACACACGCGCGCGCGCATCACCTCCCACTTGCTCTTATACACACGTGCATACTGGATAAGCTACTAAAAAACATACGTGACTTAAAAAAAGCAATAAAATCTACTCACGTTTGGTCACTTAGTGGAGGACATACTGGAATGGCCCAGCAGTCACTTGATAGCTATCGTCCGCTTCTTCTCTTTTTTTCCGCCTCTCGTCGGATCGCAAGCACCCGTTGGTGCAGCGTGACGTAGTATCTTGCGAATGGCAGGCGGTCAGTTTGCAGTGCAGGTAGATCTGAGGTAAAATCTTCAGGAACTGGAAGGCTTTCAGGCTGAGGCGGATCTCTTTAGGGTTCTGGCACGGGAGAAACTTGACAGAGTGGCTGACGGGACATCTGTAAATTAAGAAAAGTATACCGGTACTCTTCTGTTCTGTTCTTGTATAAAGAGAAGACAGTCTGACTACAGTGAAATTATACACGTACGCGGAAATAGCTAGGTAATATCACAGAGATCCTATATCGTGAGCGATTCCTACTGACGCACAACGCAAAATAACCGAACGATTTCAATTTATTTCTTACGCGTTAATGTATTGTACGTGACGTACAAGCTCTGGCAGCTCAATGTATAATAACTTACCCATTGCTAATGAACAAAAACTGAATCGGGTCTTTTGGACTTGGGGTAGTTGTAGCTTTGCATGTCTTGGCAAATAGTTTGACGTCCTCGTCCTTCGAGTCGACACTGAGCAGGAAATACATTTTGTCCCGAACCTTCACCGCCACCGGAAAATCTTTCTTGGAGTACGGATTGACGAAGTTCTCGGTCTTAAATTGCTGCATTTGAAAGGAAAAATTGCCGAGTCTTTCCTCCCTGAAACGAATCTTGTCAACGACAGGGGTGAAGCTGTGGCCCACCCAGCGGTGTTTCACATACTTGCATACCACGTGGATCTCAACGGTGCTCGCCCAAGTCACTACCCCCTTCATGAGAGACAGGTAGTTGGGTCTGGTTTTAACGACGTTCGAATACCGGATGGAGGAGTTACCGAACTTCACTTTGGCGCCACAGCCGGTAAGTCTTGATTTGAACGTGATGAAGGTACTGTTACCCGTGGCCTGACAAGAGGGATCTGCTAATTGGAGTTGCCTCGGAATCAAACCGTGGAATGTCGGTCGCAGAATGTCAATTTGCATGTGCTCATTGGTACATGCGACGGTGACAGGTTTTGCTGAAAGAATGTTCCATGCTTTCGGTTCATGAAGTTTTCGTTCATGTTCAAATTTATCAAATGCATTAGTTTATTTCTTAAACAAACATACATTTAGGAGACAGTTCGTTTCATGAGTCTTAGATGAACCCAACAAGTAGATATTAAACTATATAGGCATTACTTTCCTTAAGGTTGTGTATCGACAGCGAGGCTAACTTCACAGAGCTGCCACCTAGTGGCTATTAAAGCTCACAGGTAACCGCGTGTTACTTACATTGGCAGGTTTTGCCGTCCTGCTCAAGCAGCAAACTTCCCAATGGACATTGGCAGTGGTGTCGGTCATTATATTTCTTGTGGACACAAATATGGCTGCATCCGCCGTTGTTTGTTTTGCACCGGTTTTTTACTAGGAATACAAACAGTGACTTTGCTTATATTAGGCGAACATGTGCTCGGATTAGTTCAAATCCAGAGCCGCCTACATATGCGCCTGGGCATTTTTCGACTCAGCCCTTTGTTTTATGACAGAAAGTTGTCACTGTTTTTAAGAAGTATACTTGAATTGATATCCCAATCCAAGAGAGAGAGAGAGAGAGAGAGAGAGAGAGAGAGAGAGAGAGGAAACGTTAATTTTACACTAAAAACTCTTTGCGGAATCCTTACCACAGGTCCTTTTGTCACTTCCCAACAGAAAACCATCTCTACACGGCCGCCCATGCCCTGAGTCGTGTTCTGAGTAAAATAATGAAAAGAAATACTGATGCTGAACAAAAAGTATTTATGCTCCATTATCTGCATGCATAAGAAGCATAGACAGTCTGATTGTTTTTTGTCCATTGGAAGAAGAAAAAGCTTTGATTTCAATAACTAAGCAAGAACAAAGTGTTAGGCCCTACTTATTTGTAAAAAAGTATACAATTGCACTGCATGTTAACATGTTTTAAAATATTTGGCAAACTGAATGGAAGAAGTGCCGTTTAGAAGGGACACTGCAACTTCGTAACAAACATCTACTTCTGTTTTTCTGGTAAATCGAAATCCCCTTTTCAACATGTTGATAACAGAGTTTCCAGAGAGAGAGAGAGAGAGAGAGAGAGAGAGAGAGAGAGAGCACATGGCTAAACCACTAATACTATCGATTGAGTGGCCAACATCATAAACGGCGATCTTGTATTGCTACGTAAGCGCCATCAAAGTTAAGTTCCAACTCACCGCAAGTCTTCTTATTACTAGCAAGGCGGAAACCCTTTGGACAAGAGCACACTGCGGTATCGTTGACCATGCTACACTTGCGCTCGCAACCTCCGTTGTTGTCAAGACACAAATCATGTGATTCTAGAAGAAATATTAAAACACCATTTGAAAGTCAGAGTAACGCACTATCTTTCCAACCCCGCACACTTTCTTTTACATGCAGGCATGCAACGAAGTATTCGTGCGCTCACATGTGTGTGTGTGTGTGTGTGTGTGTGTGTTTCTTAGACATATGCATACACGGATATTTACAGGCTAACAAGCATACCGGATTGAAACGTAGGCTTAACTAGCCTAGCAATAAAAGAGAGAGAGAGAGAGAGAGAGAGAGAGACTAACTATAATGTTATCATCATTATTATTGACAGATCAAAACGTGAACGGGTTATACCACGTTAAAGCTTGTCTAATAAATATGATTTAAAAATTATAATAATAAATAAAACGGGACAAAAATACCTACCTCCGCAGTACGCCAGAGAACATTCTGGAACCTTTGGCAAATAGTAGACGTAGAAACCTGCCGGACACAACTTAACCTTGACAGTGTCTGACCAAGTACAATTGCTAATCCAATATGCACAGGCTTTGATGCTGGTCACTCCCGCTTGGACCGTCGGGTGACTTTCAGTCAGCCACATCGGGGCGTGAGTCCCGCATCTTTTTCGCGATGTCGGACACTGCAAATTTAGACGGATGATTAAGTGTGAGATAATACACTGTCACCCGAGCGATATATGCCATAACACCTTCGAGCGTCAGCGAGAGGTGTTCATGGCATACATCGCGAGAGGGTGACAGTGTATTATTTGACATATATACCACGAACAAACATAGTCATTTCATCCTAAAACACCCCTCAAATCAAATAAAATAAAGTGACCCTACAACACGCTCTAGAAATGTTATACGGAATAAACTCGTCCACGTGCGCTGGTCACCTCCCGCCAAATTCTTACGTAATGTCTGACCAATTTGGTCAATTTTGCTAAATACTTGTCGTGGACGTTCAACTGGCTTGAAAAGTATTTAATCAACCGTCGACACTGACCATGCGCGTCTCAGCTGAGCCACACCTAGCTGGGACTGCTGAGGAAAAAAGGTCCCAAGGCAAAACCTCTACCTTTTAGTGACATTTCTGATAAACAAGGAGCGTCGGACCGGAATATAATTTTTCACAAGTGCAAAGGAGAAAGAGATTTACTTTTTGGTGATATTTCTGACAACGAGGCAGTTTCGGAATATGGTCAAAATCAGACGGATGTTTATTACAAGTTCACGGGAGTAATAATTCTAGTTTTTATTGTTATTTCTGACGACGAGGCGGTTACGGAATATAGTCAAAACCAAACGGATATTTATTTCAAGTCCACAGGAGTAATAATTCTACGTTTTGGTGACATTTCTTACTACGAGGCGGTTTCGGAATATAGGCCTACATGTGCAAGATCAAAGGGGAATATATTTGATTTTTACCGATATATCTGATAAAGAGGAAGAATGAACAGCTTAAAAACAAAAGGTAAATAGCACAACCCTCGTTAAAAAGTTATAGATTTATAAATAATTTGTCCATGTATGCACGTGTGGCTTAAATGTAAACGAATTTCCGTTTTCAAACCATACCCATATGATATGACTTAGTGTAATAATATTATAAATAATAATTGCTAAACGTAAAAAGTTAATGCTAATTTTTTAAGAGTGTGAGAGATTTTAAGTTTGTTTAATAGTAGGTGTATAACACAAGCAACGTCACTATTCTCTTGATGCCAAGATGGTCACATGATCACTCTGTCTTTGGCTTTCAGTATTTAAGAGACCTCGACTGATTTAACCAAGATGTAGTCGTGAAATTCTAGACTACATCGGGGTTAAATCCGAGTTTTCCGAGAGACGCTACGCAGAAATGTCGAGTGAAGCGAGATATTTTTGGGTAGCGGCACGAGGTTGCCCTCGACCTCGATCTTCACTGAAGCTTGGCTAAATGGACAAGCTTCAGTGATCATCATATCGCCACGGTCACATAACTTCCCTAGGTATGTATGACGGAACACTGTCTCCCGATAAGGCAGGCAGTTTTATTTAAATCTTTCACAGTAGTGCACTATTTGTGCTGTTTAAAAATGTTGAATGTCACATTAATAGACTGTCGATAGTTTGATAACACAAACAAGCTATATACCAAAATGTAGCCCATTTTGGACCTGTTCTGAAAGTTGCATCGAAATCTATTCATAGCTTTTTGCAAACAGCTTTTCGCTTGCAGGCAAAAAGACTTCATTTATCAACTAATTAATTAACTTGAGTGAACTCTAATCTCTTTGGTAAAATATTTACTTTACCCTAACCTTATGTGTATAGATGGTTCCACTAATTTCTCTTTACATTGTAGATGGTATGGAATCTGCTGGACGCTTTAATATAGTAGTATGCTTATAAATCGTTCATTGAAGAATCTGACATTTCCAGAAAACACCATTTTTTGTTTTTACAATCTCCATTATAATACAATGTACACGTGCAGGGCCCCTTATCCAATTCACGAATTCATCACCACTATGTTGTCCCTAAATTCTAAATATTAAATCCAATATTTCTTTCCAACGCCAAGGACATATTTTGAGCGTTCGTTGTTAAATCAATGCCAACAATTCCTTTTTTCTACATATGTTTAATGTATCACAAATAGGAAACACGTTCGGTTTTCAAAGTACATGCATAGGCATATGAAAGCAAATTTTGAAAAAAATGTATGAATAGATCAAAAGTGGATGTCAATGAAAATGAACACAGAGAAACTGTAGATATACTACACCAGTGCCTAAACCCCTTTACTTATATATCAATACAGATGGAATCAATTTGAAAAATATGCCAGGGAAATATCTTTTTTTCATAATTACAGACGTCAAATGTTATGTTTTAAAAATTAAAGCTTACCTTATCTAGCATTTTGTTTCCAGCACCGGCTCTGAATCTGTACCAACCGGGGAAATCATTGCCTTTATCACAGTGTGTGTTCCCTCTTTTATCCACATCTCTCGCATTGTTAACATTTCTCCAACCTTGGGCAAGGATGCCGTGCTTTATACAGGGATCTACTAAATAAATAAATAAATAAATAAATAAATAAATAAATTATATATCAATGATATTCAACAAAGCCTTAAAATAGATAATACATGTATAAAAAACATTTTGTTGGAAAGGCAACATTTATCTGAAAGGTGTGATAGCACTGCTAAGAAAAATAGATCATGAGTTCGTCAATGATAGATAAACATCTCAGTGTATTTTTTGCATTCCAATCTTTTTCCATCGTGTTTAATTTGAATATTTATAAACAGTGAATAAAATAATAAGAGAAATCTTTTTAGCCAAAGACGCAATCTTTAAAACACTTTTCATCTCGGCATTTGAAAAGGAGCTTAACGTTTATATATTACTCTGTTATAAACCATCATCAACCCCTTTTTTTCACTCAAACTCAGGTGTGCCTTAAGAATTTAAAAGAAAGTCAGTAAAACTAAATGGTCAATTACCAGCGTGTCGTGACTTTGCTCCATCGTTTGCAGTCGAACTCTGAATATGGAATAAAGCAAACATTTATTACTCCCCTGTCTAATGTTTATATATTCAAGATGCAAAAAAGGGGAAAGCAGACGAAGCCTGGCGGTATAAAATATTTTGGACAAATAGCTAAATAAGATTTATCAATGTCATCATTGATTTCGTCCGACATGAATGTTACCAATAAGTAAGTCGAAAAAAAAAAGATTATCAAGAATGAGATTAAGTAAATCACAAATTTAACTTGACAAAAATACGTTAACAGTGTGAATTATACATGGGGACATATAAATTTATCATAACTTAATGTACCTTGAATATCATTAAATAAAATTTATCGTTCGACTTCATTAGACCCATATGTAGATCTTAAAGCATAGAAGGAGACCGCTATATAAGGTGACGCTATACTTTATTGATAACTAAATTGTATTATACTTTATCTCCACACTGTTTCAATGAAGAATACACGGAGTACATGTAGCTTCTAAGATTCCTCTCTCATTAATATATTAAATGCACGTGTGTATTTATCAAACATTTGTATACATTACCTCCGATAGGGAACCATGTAACAATAGGCAGAAAGTACAACAAGAGATCGACCAAATCATCTCCTTTCTCCAGCACTGATAAAAAGGTGAGTGAGGCCGTTCAGTGAAACGACTTAAATCATTCATTTTCTTGGCGCCGCACCCACGACTTCCAAATATGGACATCATAAACTACCGTGGGCAGGAGATTGACAGTGGGTTGAAAATACGTTAATGGATACGATTCAGAGGTCAGATCTGTTTGCAGCGAAATGCTAACAACGGTCAGGGCTTCAATGCTCGGGTTTATCATTTGTAAATACTTCAGACACGATGTTTTTAGATTTATTTTTGGTCGAATTTATCATTTATCAGTAGTTTAAATATGGCATTTTCAGATTTATTTTTTCTACCTCTGTTTTCGATGCAAATTCAGAGCAGGATGTCTACAGGGGCTCCTGTTCACGTCTTTAAGTGAAAAATAATAAATAGCCACCAAAATATCACATCCCGGGCAGAGATCCCCGTCAATCAATGTCCAAATTAAAGTATATACCCTTTGCTAGCTCCACCCTTCATCACTTACTTCCTAAAGCGTCCCTCCCACTAAAATTAGCTTCCTTCGCGACTGTCCAAAAAACATTAACACCGATATACTACATGTACGTCTTAATACATGAACATTTTACATCTTAGATCCTTTCAGAGCTCGCGTTGAACGCCATTTCTGGAGGTTGCTATCAAAGGCTTACTCTCAGATAGGCCCCCGAGCCCCTACCTTACTCGAAATTTATTGCATATCTACAGACTCTTTCAAACTATCAAAACCACATAATACCAGGAGGAAAGAGTAAAACGATATTTTGTTATCTCTATTGTCTCTTTTTTCTAAGACACGTTACCAGCTAATCTTGATCGAGAGCAAGGCAAAAGGTGCGCTTTCTGCTTATGCCCCGACTCGTGTTAATGCATCATTTTACAGCATTAGGTTTGTGTACTCAAAAATTTTATCTATAATTTTTATTCGTGTGAAGTCATATACTTTTTATTCCATATGCAGTCCGCCAAAAGTTAGACAAAAAATTAAAAAGAAATCACATTTATTAATTGCGAGTAACCAAAGTCCTTTTAAGCATGCATTATACAGTGTTTTCAGTTAAACATCCTGGGTACAAATTGATGGTGAATGTGGAAAAGGTGTGTGTGTGTGTGTGTGTGTGTGGGGGTGGGGGGGGGTGGGGCAGGCCTGTAAAATGTGTTTTTAACGGAATACGTGTTGTAAGACAATATGATATTTCCCCATAGATACTTGTATGCATTCACTCATGAAGTGGTAAATTATCTTGATCGAGGACAAGACGTGTCCTGTTGCTTTTAATAGTCATGTTTTTTTATGTTTATTTCCTAAGCCTTTCTTTCTTTTTTCTTTATTTGTATCGTTCCTCCAGTCTTCAAAGTACACTTTGATGTTAGGCTTAATATTAATAACTCTTTGAATGATTTATGGCCTATAAGGCGTTCATTTTTAGCCGACAAAAATACAGAAGGCCGGGTCTTTTCGCAGTGTGAGTGCCCCCGTCGGTGAAGAGCGGCACACACCGACCTATATATTGAATTATAGAATTATAGAAAGGCTAATCTAAGTAATTGAATTGCAAATTGATAGAATAATAAATGAAAAGAGACAAAAAGGCAAATATTTAATAAGTGATAACAGTGGTATAGACCCCCATCCCCCCTCCCCCCACGCTTACTGCAATTTTTATATATACTCCTTTCGCAAGTGAATATTCGACTTGGCTTATTTGAATGTTGTAATCCTATCATCAAATGTAATAATAATTTAAGGTATAACCCGGTTCACAACTTTGCCAAATATTCTTCACGATATGCAATTTCGTTTCTGGATGTCGTTATAGAAATGAATTCAGGCAAATTTCCGTCATTACGGTAAAAATAAACCATAGGAACTGAATTTATAGATCCTTTTTCTCCCAATAACTTTGTTGTAGATCACAGACTCTCAAACTTCCCATATTGTGAAAAAATTCAGTTTAACCGAAAACATAACACGTTTAGTCAGTTGCTCTGCTTTTTAATAATAAGCACAATTCAGAATCTGCACAAAAGCGGATTAAAATATGTATACGTAGAATAGTAAAACAAGTTTTACACTCCACTAGTGATATAAAGCAAAGTTAAATGTTGGTTGGTTTACGCTTTTCGTGAAAATAGAATTATATCGGTTAAAATCGCATGTCCCATGTCCAATTGCCGAGATGAGATTTCGATCTTCGTAAGAGTTGAGGAGATTTGCTGATGCAGTTCTGTAAAGATGTTTTAATGAAAAATTAAAGATGCCAGGACACTTCAGCTCAAACAAATATATATTCACCGGACACACACCAAATTAAAAGAATGTGCTTTCCTTGCATTTAGAATGAAATATAGGTCTCTATGCAAATTTGAAATCATGTAATTATCCTTGATTAAAATGTGTAATTTTTGTATTAATTACCAATAATAATCAAAGTTAAAACACAAGATTGGATCATTCATGAAAAATAACTTACAAAAGCTGTCAGTAAACGATATAATGGAAAGGTCCTTCAGATATCTGGAAATCGTCGACAGATTCAGCCCTTCTCTTTCCTGGGCTATCATCTTGCACACAGCCCTTGGTACAGCGTGACGTCATATCCGCAGTGTGGCAGACGACCAGTTTGCAGTGAAGATATATCTGAGGAAAAGATTTCAGGAACTGGAAGGCCTGGATACTCAAGCGAATCTCTCTTGGGTCCTGACTTGGGAGGAACTTGACCGCCGATGTCACTGGACATCTGAAGGGAAGGAAAGCAAGTATTTTTACTATATGACGCTCATTTGATTATAATATGAAGTTGACTTCTGAATGGGAAAGGATCAGTTGACTAGTACATAAAAAGATGACCTATCATCAAATAAAATAATTAAACAAACATACAAAAGTGAGCCTATTCGTTAAAACATCCCAAATTGCGGTTATGAGTGATTCATATCTGTACGGATCTAAAATACTTTATGAAGCAAAACCATAAACATATATTCATATCTGATAACCATGGGTATTCGTTAATGCATTTTTGCATTGATCTATATGAGTGTACAACTCAAATATTTTTTCATTTTTGTGTAATGCAGGTACATGTATTTACCCGTTAATGATGAAGTTGAACTGGAGGAAGTCGAACGGGCTGGAAGAAGGCGTACCGCATGTCCTGTGGTCCTTTCCCAGACGGAAACCCTTTGGACACGAACACACAGCGTTGAATGTAAAGTTATCCATGGAGCAGTAGTGGGAACATTCCCCGTTGTTTTCAAGTCACATGTCGTGATACTCTGAAATACAAGCGTTTTACATGACATTATTGTAAAGTCAATAATACCTGACTGATACTTCTACAGATACATAAACATATCTTTTGCATTGGTCTCTTTGTATAAACATTTGCGTAAATGAAAAGTCTTACCTTGCTCATGCCAGATCATGCTTGACTAGAAATAAATTACGACAGCATAATTATAAAAACTGAGTAAATCTTAGGGTATTTTCACGCTGGTGCCTCGTGTACAAAAGGATCTATAACTGTGCACGATACAAACTGAGACATTTACCAACACAATATGCCAAATCACAATGTGGTGCATCTGGCAAATAGTACACATAGAATCCTGCCGGACACATCTTTACTTTGACTGTAGATGTGTATTGACAACAGCTAAAAAAGGTCGCGCATGCCTGTCTACTGACCACGCCGTCTCCTATTGCTGGGTGTGTACCGTTCAACCACATGGGAGCAGCAGTTCCGCATCTGGAGGAAGACGCTGGGCACTGTAAAGAGACGTTTTGAAAAAGAACAGCCAGTAGTCATATGAAATAAACATGTAGATATGACGGATATTTAATAAGTATTTCAAGGAATAAAAGATAACTCCACCTAAATGTCTGACACGCCTAGTAAAGATGTTAGGGGGTAATTATCTTTACCCCCTAGGTGATTCGGTAGGCGTGACAGACATTTCAACCGGTTAAGTTGATAGCAGCTTAGTGAGCATCCCCAAGGAGTTACACCGATCCAGATAGATCGATTGATCTAGGCATGGGAACCCAGTCTAAGACAATGTATGATGTAAAAGTATTTGACCAGTTATTCAAGGAGTGATCTTTTACGTGATATAAAGGTGCAATGACGTGCAAATGTAATAGGAAGACTTGAATTGAATGGGCTGGTTAAATTGTCCTTTCCATTGTTGATTTAACATAGGATTGTACCTGTACATATCAAGACGTATTTATAGTGCATTTGTAGCAGAGGCTAATCCAGAATTATCTTCATCAGTGTACAGTACCTCTACTGACCTCTTCTGGCATTCTGTTTCCAGCATTGCCTTTGAATCTAAACCACCCGGGGAAGTTATTGGTGGTGTAAGGTGCTCTATCACATTGTGTTTTCCCATTTTTATCCGTGCCTTTTGCATTATGCACGCTTCTCCAGTCCTGGTCAAGAACAACGTGGGTCACACAGGGATCTTAAATACAACAAGGCTATAAAAACAGATGACAAGATGCGTGAATGTGAACATACGTTAAGTCATTAAATAATTACGCCCTTGATAGGACTGAAATAACGCTCGCTTGCGTTTATGCACTGCATCAAACTATTATTCATTAACATAAAAGCAATGTCATAAAGGACGGAAACTAACGTTATTTATGAGTAATTAAAAAAGATGCCTGTTTGGATGAACTAAACCTTGGTATATTTAACAATTAATAATATAATAAATTGATAAACATTTTAATACTAGTAGCTAATCAGATTTTTGCGCCACACAAAGCTGCATGATTGATTTTCAAGGAGTAGACTCGGAAAGCAATGGATTGAGATACAACGTACACAAAGTATATCGCTTACCTACGTCTCGTTGACTAATATTTATGTCTTCATATTTTTCCTAAAATGAAAAAAAAAACAACTTTTTAACCATGTGGTTTATATGAAGAAATCACCACACACACATACACGTGAGCGCGCGCGCATACACACAATCTCAAATAGGAACACACACACAAATACATACAAAACGCATGAACATACACACACACATGTCCACACAACTCGGTAATTTCAATGGCATATCGTATC